CAGGGTAAAGGCACTGCACAGTTGAGCGCAGGGCGTGTGAGTGAGTGCGTGCGCCGTTCAGCTTCTCAATGCGTGATTTCCATGCTCTCGATTCTTGTGGATGTGCTTGGTTTGTTTTGGGTTTTGTGATTTCATCTACGCATGAAATGTTTGGCATTCTGCCAAAAATGGTGTCGCATAAAGCCTCAGTAGCTTGCGTAGATATTTTTCATGTTTATAATTACCTTGCATTGCTATAACAACTGTAAGAACGTTGGTTGGGCCGATAACAACTGTAAGAACGTTGGGCCGATTACTTTCATCCACTTCAATTTAGATATCAAACAACAATATTAAAGCGTCTATTGTTTAACTCGTGACCCGATATCTACCCGATTTCATGGGAATGTCTGAGACACACATTTCCAAGCCCGGGTCCGTTCCGATGTCACTGATGATGTCATCGGACCTTGGGCCAGGCCACCGCCGGCGACCGCCATTAGCCGCCTATGTTCACACATGACTAACGGACAGGTGGTTAGAATGATGTCCCAGGTACCAGTTTGGTCATTAGCTCTGTAGAGCTACCTATTTGCGGGCATATGCTGGGACTCAAATCTGCATTTTCATACATGCAGCTCTTTATGTGGCAGGAACATCCAATTTGTCATTTATTTTAGATGTTTACGCAATGAAACGTTTGTGAAGGACCCGTGCGCTTGCTATCATATCCCAGTTTCGAATTGTTTTCAATCGGGTGGTGAGCATATCTAAACTTAGATGGTTAAAAATATAAGGCTGGGAGTTGTCAGCAATGTTTCTGTTATTGCAACCGAAATTCAGGTAGGTACATAGATGTGTGATTTCTATCGTCTGCGTTACTTTTGCTCTTTGCTCTATACAGTGTCATATTTCAAATCGTTGATGTCCAATTCCAAACATTTAATTGAGGTTTACAAAATAATGTCCTTCATTAAAAAGCTTACTTTTCATCCTATAATATTGTGATGTTTGATTCATCTTGTTGCCTTTTAGTGTGATGTGAACTGCAATGTCACAAAATACCTCGGCAGTCAGCTGAGCGCGGCGCCTGGTGGCTGACGCGCTCGCGGGCTCTCCTGCCTGCCAGTCAGCCTACCTTTTATCGTTGTTTTTACTGTGTTCGTTCTTTGAAGATTTGCTCAAGCTTTGATTTTAGTGGCACGTATTAGTGTCGTGGTGCTCTGCGAACTTTCATCTGTGACCCGGCAGCCTGCTCGGATTCTGGGGTCGTGGTCAAGGTGACCAGTCGGCATGTTGGCGACAGGTCTGTTCTGCGTTATTTAAAGGGACTATCCCACCTTTAACATGGGGTTTGAGTTGAGATAGCCAAGTTTGCGGCGAGGTTCAGAAACCACTATCTATCTAGGTTGCAACCCCCGCGGCCTCTTGGTGTTGAAGAAATTCGTTCCCTTCATTTGAAAATGGGCCTTGCGCAAGGCCCTATCTTCAACATGGAGCGACCGTTAGTGTGACGTCACCTCGTTTAGTCATTCTGATTTAAATGGGTTTGTTCGTTGAAAATCGCTTAAAACTTGGTCTGAACTTTGTTGTGGTGCCTACAGAGTAAAAAGAATCAGCTTTATGACAGTAATGTGGCCTGGGGAAGGAGGTAATTTTGGGCTGTGACGTCACATATTTGAAAGTTTGTGTTTGGAATATGGGAAGCCTAAGATGTTTAATGAAAAATAAATGCCAGAACCGTGTTCCTGGTCATCCAATCTATAAAGTCGGGCACAATTTAACTGGTTTTAACAACATTTTAGAAGGTGGGATAGTCCCTTTAACCCGCGCCCTGATGGGGTCTGCCGAGCAACGCGGTCTGATGGGGGGGGGGGGCATTTTGGCCCCCCCCCCCTAAGATCTCGAGAACCACGCAACATAACGACAAGCGGTAAACGGCGTTGGATAGCCCCAACGGGGAATTACCTTGTGACCCAATTTCATTGACCTCCGTCAAACCGATGACGTCACAGGTCAGGTCAAAGGTCGAATTTTCACCGTTTACAGGCATTTCAAGAAATGCGTTGTAAAATCGAATAAAATGCATTTCATTGAAAATCATCGATGGGGAAATGTTCTTCAAACACATATTTTGCTATTTGAGGTCACTGATACCAGGTCAGGTCACAGAGGTCAGGTCACTGGGGGGTCACAATATGAAAGTGTCGTGTGATACATGTTTTATGGTCCATTTTACATGACAAATGCGATTATGTGGGTCAGGCAGAATTTTGGGCCAGCGTAGGTCACGTTTTGGTCAAGGTCAGGTCAAATTAGGTCAAATTTCAAAGTTGATGTTTTTGCATAAAATGGGTATCGATTCGATGCAGCTCGTCACGGGGAGTTCAATGGTGGTCTCCGTTTTGCGCTACGAGGTCTAAACTTGCAAAAAATTGAGTTCAAAAATTTGACGTCATCAATTTTTAAGTTTTTTCGCTATAACTTGGCCAAAAAAGAGGTATCGATCTAAAATTTGGTATGGATATCGAAGAGCGCAGGGACTATCACATATATTCCGGTTTTTTCGAAATTCGAAAACTTTTTGGATTTTTTTGTGATTTTAGGGGGTCAAAATCCCAAAATTTCGAAAATCTGAGATAGCAGTTTTGTAGCGCTGTCTTTTCTCTACACAACCACATAAAGAACTTTAAAATTGCTTGTTAACTGTAGAATTGGTGAGCGTTTCAAGATGTCATGTTTTTTGCTCATTTTTACTCGAACATGACCTCAGTTTGACCTCAATAACTCCTGACGTGAGGTGACCTGTGACTTGAAATTTTGTGTGAAGGTGTCAAATTGATGCCCGGTAAGGTACCCAAAATTTGGCGGCGCTGCGCGCCCCCGTTTTCTCGCCATTTAAGAAAAACCACAGGGGGGGGCCAAAATGCCCCCCCCCCCATCAGGGCGCGGGTTAACAGACTGCCCAATGAGCTGCAGTCTCTGTCGCGACCTGCCTTCAAACGACAGCTGAGACTTCTGCTGCTTCGGGAGGCAGGATAGGTTCGTGGAGTGCCATGTCTTATCGCGTGTTTTTCCTCTTCATTTTATGTCATCACTGTTTTATACAGGGTGTCCCATAAGTTCCTTCTCACCTAAATTTTTCTTTTAGAGGCTCTCTTATTTAAAGCCACGCTTAATTTATTTTGTAACTGAGCTTTTGGGGTTGCCATGGCAACTGTGAATGTGCTCCACGGTCACTAATTCGTCTAGACAAAATATTTTTTGCCAGAGAGTTCACTTCCTGTGGAGACGGCTTACGCCGCAACATAGAGGTCTCCGATACGGGAACGTCTCGGTATTTAGTCCGCACTGGGCCATTCACGACGGTTGAGGGTGATTGAGGCCATCCAGTATGTAGCCAATGTCTGTCGCTAACTGGACGCACAGTCAACAAGTGACGCCGATGATTTGTCGGGAGTCAATCGCTGCAAGTTTATGCTCTTTTTTGTCAGCTTTCACGAGTGAGCCATGTGGCCAAAACTGTGTGGCGCCAAAATGGCCGTCAAAAAGGTCTTAGCGTTAGAAAGTTGGTAAACAGGCTTTTCAGGATGCATTACCAGCTGTCTAAGAGTATCATTTCGGGGTACCTAACTCAAGGTGACTTAAGCTCTACTTACCGGAGGGCTCAAAACAGTCAAAAACGTCTTAAAATGGCCAAACATGTGTTTCGTTATGCCTGAGGCTAAAAAAAACTGGAGGGCCGATGACATCAATGTGGTCATCTGGACTACCTAGTCCGTGCTCGAGATAAAACACCGGTCCAAACCCCAAAACGGTCCCATATGGGCGACGGAAAAGGCTTTTATGTCATCCCGCTTTATTCCTATGCGAAAGGCCAGGGTCACGGTAATGTGGGGTAATATGCGTCCAGACACTGATCACGTTGCGATTGATACTCCAGAAACAGTCTTGGGACGCAGAATGCTTCTCCAAGAAGATCTAGTAGGAGTTTCAGCTTTCTAGCATAACTCGAACCGCAAGTATGACCACATTTTTTTAGGAGAAAATGGCATCCGGGAGGTCGTAGGCCCATCTTCAAGCAAGACAGTGCATCAGTGCACAGGTCAAGCAAAGCTTAGAAGCAGTGCCAGGAGACTGTGATAGGCGTGTGTGGTAAGATCACATCCCAGCCAACTCATCGGATCCAAATTTCATAAAAATGTGTTGGGAATATTGAAATCGAGGCTCGTGGAAGCGAAGCGGTGTTCCAGCATTGAGGAGCTCACGGCGCATGCCAAGTCAGTCTGGGCTAACTTCAAGCCTGCTATGCTGCCAAACATGCCGGTTGGCATGTCGCAGCATGTATTCATGTGTTTGCCTATGAAATGGGGAGCACATTGAGGGGTTATAAACATATCAAAACGCAATGCACTCTGTTTTACATGCAAATATAAGGTGAGAACGAACTTATGGGACACCCTGTATCTTATGACTTGTATGTGTGACTCGGGCGCTGGAAGAGCCACTTCTTAGTGGATGCAACCACGAATAAACTAATCATGTTTATAGAAGTTCTTTAGCTCCTATTTTTTATGTCTTATAAATGTCATTGTGTTAACATATTCAGATCAATGGTCATTGCACATTTATAGGGCCAAATGCGATGCATTGTATTTGTCTGTCTCAAGATTCGCCGCGGATTCCATCACGTCACCACGTGGTCCTAGAATGCGACGAATGCGGCGCAGTTGACCCCAATCTCCTATACAAGATAGGTATGTAGATCGAAGAGCGACCTTGCGAGATCGACGAGCGACACAATCTGACAAGTGTTCCTGGGTATATACAATATGCATACAAGCCTCCAAGAAGCTAAATACAGTGGTGTGGATCGGAATGTATTAAGCTCACGTTGTGCATAATCACAAGCTTCTGAGACACACTACATGTGCTCTCTCTCTCTCTCTCTCTCTCTCTCTCTCTCTCTCTCTCTCTCTCTCTCTCTCTCTCTCTCTCTCTTTCTCTCTAAAACAATAGCATTTCTTTCTCTTCTCGCTTTTTTCTTTTTTTAACGACGCCAACAGCTGTTCCCATTACAATGGCTGACCTTGCCTGTAGCAATCATTTAACATTTTTACACAAACAAGCACATTTGTGGCGCGTACAAACATGGCACATTGACACATTCCATACCCTAGGCCGTACCCGCGAATTATTTGATGGGCTGGATTAATGTCGTCGATTTGCGTCATTGCATTGTTAATCTCCAGACTTTCTTCATTCGGCATTGACTGATGCTAATTCAACACGTCGCTGTTTACTTGATTCACCTGTGGCTTTTGTTTTGCAATAATTCGAACGATTATGCCCGTGATACCACTCTGCAGACATGTACCGCTGGCTGGCCCGTCACCCGGAGCCTTGAGTTTGGCGGGGAGCAGGGACTCGCTCCTATCCCCTCCCAGTTACAGCCAATCCCATAACTGATGACACTCTGTCGAGCGCGACGGCACTCTCTCGCGCCGTGCAGCAGTCCTATAAGTTATATTCTCACTCCGCGCTGCCCCGACTGTCCAGACGAGAGCTCACAGGAGGCATACTGATGAGACCGCTCAGCGACGACCTGCGCCCACTCATCCGGTTCGAGAGACTCCTCAGATCCAGAGACGGGTTCCTCCCTCACTCCAAGGCGTGGGTGCGATCCCGCGCGTCCCGTACCCGCCGACAGTGGCCCCGCGGCGCAGCGCCGGCCGTTGGTGCAGGTACAAGTTCGAGTTTTTGCCGATAGATGGCAGCAGAGCAGAGTTGCTCACTGAGAATCCTCCGGCTGAAGATAAGTAATCCTACTCCGGTAGATTCCTCTGCTGTCGATGACGAATTGTACGATCTGAAAGGCGAGAAAAGTGCTCACTGGTTGAAGGTATTTTATGCTGAGTTTCTGTTGTGACCTAGTCACCTAGGTACCTAATTTTTGGATACAGATAAGTAGGTACCTAGATACCCATTTTTATTCAAATGTTTACTTTCAATTTAAAACATTTGAAACATTCAAATATTCGGGCGAGGGTTAAAGGATGCGATGCAGATGCGTGTTATACAAGCCCACTGAAACGTTTCTTTAATGAAACGGAGAACTGTGGAAACGCCGTACTTATCAGGCAGCGAAATTGATGAGAAGATGAAAGTGAGAGCAATGAAAAACTAATTTCATCAATACCCCAATATACCTACCTGGCATCTCACACCCTCACGGTCATCTGTTCTCACCACCAGTCTCTCCTCTCACCTGTATCCGGCCGTCGGGGAGCAGGACCCTGTAGACGCCGCCCTTGTTGGTCTCCGACAGACCGAAGTCGTTGCCCGAATCCTTGTCCTTGACGGCGTAGGCGAACTCAAAGTCCTCGATGGGCGGAAACTCAATCTTCTCCGGGTGGTACTGGCCGTCGTCTCCGGTGAATTTGCCACTGCAGGACAGACGTGAGTTACTCAGGATGTGACCATTTTAGTGTGTTGAGTTCCATATTTGTAATTCCTTGTGTATTGTTAAGTTTTGCTGGTGTACTCGTACATGACACTCATGTTGAAAAGGCTGCTAATTGAGATCATGATTAGTTAGCGAAAGTTAAAGGCATATTTTACCAGTCTTGCGAAGATTTTTTGCACTTTGTTTTTAGCTTTTGCGTTACGCTGTTCCATTTCATACAGGATTGCTGAAAGTTTACAATGGCCTGACACTTGTAGAATTATGCACCAGTGAGTATCCTACTAATCTATTCGTTTCAAGCCATTCTTCGCTGTTATGTTGAGTAAGACTAGCCGAAACGGGGCAAACATCTCGGCGAAAGGCTGCTTCCATTGTGCGGGATACCTACTTACCTACGCAGACGTGGAATTACGACTTTCCTTACTGCATATGCAGCCATATGCCGAACGGGCTCTGAACCTGAATACAATGGTTCGCGAAAATAGCCCCCGACATGTTTGACATTGGCCCTGTGACTGGACCCCATTAGTCAGATAGCTCCTACCTTGAACTGCATCGTGGAATATTTAGCAAGCAGTGAGTCAGCCTCTCGGCTATTCGTGAGGACGACCTTTTCGTAGGACTGCCCGCCCCATCGGGACATTTGCCGTCAATGAGATTAATCTCTGTGCCTCCCTCTAGCACAGGTTTCTCGGGGGCTGACCTTATTCGTCGGCCGATCTGACACCGCAGCGGGGTGAGGAACAGCAATGGATGCGGCGACCCGCCCCGTAAACACATCTGATACGTGGTCAGGTGTTCACCGCCCACACCCTTTTCCCGCGCCCCTCGGCATGTCGCGGCTCTGTCCCCGTTTTCCAGGGCCGTGGACATCTGTCCTTTCTTTCCGTTCCTCCCTCCCTCATTGAACTCTCCTGTCATGGAGACGCTGTGTCCAGACGATCTTCAGCAATGCGAAGGATAGGTCTTTTGGACCGCCATTTTCCGTGCATGTACTGCTGCTTTTGGAAGTGATTGCACTCTCCTCCCTCTGAGCTATCGCTGCAAGTTCCCCTATCCCTCCCTCTTTATATCTTAATCCCTCTCTTTCTTGTTCTCTTATACCTACATTTTCATATCCCCCACCACACCACATTTGGAAGCATAGACCAAGCGCACAGTAGAAATGCCCCGATATCTCATCTTGCCCAATTAAACCTTGCCTTTGTCACTCACGCGTTGGGGTCGTATTTGCCGCTGTTGTACTGTTCCGGGTGGTATAGGCCGTCGTCGAAGTATCCTGCTCCTCCGGCGCTCTGTCCTCCGGCACTCTCTCCTCCGGCACTCTCTCCTCCGGCACTCTCTCCTCCGGCACTCTCTCCACCGTCCTGTCCGGCGTCCTGTCCGGACAGCTCGCTCAGGGAGTTGTCCACCGGAGTGTCGGCGATGATTCCACCCTCCGCCTGTCGGTGGAAGAGAATTGTGTCATTGCTGGTCTGGTCATTTTCAGAGATGTTACTATATAAACTTGTCTAATGGAAACAAAACGGAGAGTTGTAACTAGAGAAAACGAAATGGAATCTAAAGGTGACATTAAGGAATTATTGTCCACATTTATTATAAATAATTCATCAGCTTGCACACAAATGCACACGGTCGAAGACGAAAACGCGCCACTCCCGAACATAAACTGCACAAGTGCTGTCCTCCGTCCATTCAGACTGTCCTCCGCAGGCGTCCCTCTCCTTTGCAGCAGAGCTGCTGAACGCATTAGCTCTGCTAGCAGCTCGGGCCCCACCCTGTCTCGTCTGCAGACTCCCGTTCCGTCGCCGCCATTTGTCTCCACTCGCTGCTGGCTGACAGGGCACCGGACCTGACCCGTGCACGGCGCGAGACGGACGGCGACCATTACCATTCATCGTATGACACTGCGCGACGGTCCGCGCCCGGATGGACCTTTGATGGTGCTGGATCGTGGGGCCGCTCCTTCGGCTCAGAAACGGCTGGACGGGTGGCGTCTGGGGTGTATGGGTGTGGAGGGGTGTAGTAGGGGTGTTACAGGAGCGGTTGCTGAATGGGGACGGTGAAGGGCTAAAAGTTCCGTTATGTGAGCTTAGCAGAGCTAGGAAGAATCGCGATTCATGCTAGAGTAAGTGATGAGCAGTGGTTCGGATTATCGGAGATGATCATATCCGGGATGATGTGGGTTTTGCCCTGATAAAACAACTGCTCTGCAGTCTATTGATTCTTCCGTTTCCTGATTGCTCTACCATGCATGAATCGGTTTCGATCATCGAGCAAAAACATTAGGTAATTCGTATGCACGTCGCTCCGTTTGGAAGGTCAGCATGAGAAGAGAAAGAAGACATCAAGCCAGCGTGCCTACGTGAACACGTGCGATCAGATTGCCGCCGGCTGTTTCCTGTTCCAAATCAGTGACTATCAGCGGCGTCTCTTATTGCCGTAACATTTATTAAATGACTAAGTTGTTGCATGTGTATTGAGTAAAGCCCCAGCATTGAAACACGGATGCTCTCAGGTCTTTTATCAGTTGGGCATTCGACCCGAACTATGCCTCGTATGGCCGAGATGTATGCCATTCTTGTGATGGTAGACAGATTTCATCCAGCTGTGGTTTTAGTAGCCGCAGTCCGGGTTATCGGATCAGTCTAATGCATAGCAAACGCGCCGTCTCGTCTGCACATTACTCGCAGGAATTTCCATGCGGCACGACACGGCGCGCCGCTAGCCTTGAAGACCACAGCGGCTGCCACATTTGTCATGAGCAGTGGGCACGATGCACTTTTGGTGTCGCTGCCAGCGCCGGGCGATCAACCGTGACGCACACAGCGAAACATGTTACTATGGCAACCGTCTGTCAGCAAAGAAGCGCCGCCTGCTTGTGTCTCACGGATTTTGATCAGACACCCGCAGCGTAGGGGTGAGACAAAGCTCGTTACGTGATCATAACTGTGGGAGGTATAACGGGACGGAAAACCGGCTGAAACGATCGTGCGGACGACCGCCGGAGGCCTCTCAAACCGGGAATGTGGAAACTGCAACGCAACATACGACACTAAAAGACTGCGACGCGCCACAGGGCGCTACCCCGCCGGCGGTCGCGCGGTCGCGTTAGTTTTGGAGTGGAATTAGTGACGTGGTGGTCTGTCCGGGTAGTTAAAAAGATTGGGTGGATAATTGACACCATGAAGGGTGCTCAGAATGATTAACGTTCCTGGCTGCTCAGGTTGTTGCCCAACTCATCCTCAAATCCGCCGGCGGCTGACTTATTGATTTATTGTTGTTTGCTGAGTGCCACATTGGAGCTTATAATTTCCAAACGGCCTAATCCATAGCTTGGGAGGTGAACGATGTGAACGATAATAATGTTGTAAGAGCTCAATATCGCCCCGTTACAAATTGCTTTGCGGTTGTTTTTCTCTGTACCATACTTTGCAATCAGATTTGATGGTGGCTACATGACAGCAATTACAATATGCTGACCTTTCGTACCAAGATGTGGAGGCAAATATTCTTCTATAATCTTCAAAGCACTGTATTACCGCAGACAGCTCATCCTAATATTTACTTCACTGGCTCCTTCCCTTTGTCCCTTTCCGCTCCCTTACTCATCCATCCCTGCTCTCCTTCCCTCTCTCCCAGTGATCCCATCCGGTCACTGACCTGACCCAGGTCGTCGGCTGGCGGTGGCAGGTACTCCTTCTCAGGGGGCGGCAGGTACTCGTTGCTCGGAGGGGGCGGCAGGTACTCCGGGGAGGGGGTGGTGGGGGGCAGGTAGGTCTCCGGCGGAGGGGAGGGGGTGGTGGGGGGCAGGTACGTCTCAGGTGGAGAGGAAGGCGGAGGGGGCAGGTAGGTGTTGGAAAGACCCTCCATCGGAGCCGCCGCCGCCGACGACACCGCCAGCGCCAAGAAGATCTGAAAAAAGAACAGGGGTGATGAATTAATGGATCAAAAAGGCATATGACCTTTAGAATAACATGTCTGGTGGTTATTAAAGTAGTGGCTTCGTTGCGCCATATTTAGGCATTATCAACGGATAGAAATGGTTTTCGAATTGTCGTGTTCGTAATTCATTGATTCTAAAAAGCGCTCACAAAATGACATCATCATTCAACCGAAGGATGGTGTGGAGTGGTTGACACATTCGTTGCCAGTTTTCTTTACGAGTGCGGTTATCGGCTCTTGCGTAAACATTTGGCTTAATTTTGTGCAATCAGTGACAAATACTGCGTTGCTACCTGGCTTTGCTGTTAAGAATAGCTCATTCATAGCTGTCTGCTTGCTGGTATTGAGTGATTGCTGTCTTGAACAGCACTCGAGTAGAATTGCAGCAAGATTGGCGAGCTGTATATCAGCTGTCAATTGATTTTGCATGTGTTGCGTCAAACGGCGTCTGCATTGTCACCCGTTTAGCATGATCAATTTGGCGCGACTTTTATGGTTTGGCAAGGATTATCCGCCGGATTGCTCGCGTGCTGAATATCATGAATGGGCTTTATAAAGTGTGCTCCTTAGTCAACGTGTGAGCCAATAATGGTGTTCAGTAATATATCTAATGCAGAGTTAACGCATTCTAACCGCATCAATTATTTGTTATGAAAAAGGGGCGTGCGATATTAGCTGTCAGCGGAGATGCCAAGTTGATCTGAGGATAAATGTCGATGAACGCAATGTTGCTATTGGATAATTTTTCAATTGCCCAGTGTCGAAGCAACACTCGCTTTGCATTTATGGGCGATTATGCGGTATACGTCCCTCAGTGGTTGTTGCAAGTTTTCTGTCGTATTTCTGTGCATAAAAGTTCTTTTCTGATTTTGGTAAATGCATTTTACATTTGACTTGGTGTGAATCTATTGCTCTCTCTTATTAGCTTTTTGATTTGTTATTCCTTGTACGTGCTTATTGTCGTTTTACATCTATTTCCTTTACTGCTTGCCCTTTGGGCTGGTTTCCTGGCTTTGAAACACTGGTAGAATGAGTAATCTGCTCAGGCTGATAGCATATAAACCCCGACGTCGAACAAGTTCGAACACAACGATTGGGTATGCTTAGCCTGGGGTATCTACAGGCTACAGCAATCAATTGAATAATAACTGTAGTCAGAAAATGATATTGTTCGTGATGCCGACCTATTGTCATCACACGACACCAACTTTCAGAAAAAAAATGAGACCCCGAAACGCTTAAAAACATTCAAATCATTTGTGCAATGCAAGAATGAAACAGACATGTTGCACGTTATTAAAATGGACGTGCAATCTGATGTATGTGAAGTTGACCTTTTGTTGCAATGCTGCTCATAAATGTATCTGTTTTATAGGTGCCGTGTTTTTTTATAGAAAACAGATCACCGCGATAAGTCATCTCTTGATCCATCACTTACATAATAATAATAAGATAAGGTAACTGTTTTTATACCGACAATAGTCAAATTTACCGGCATGGCGTAAGTGTGTACCCTGCCTCGCCACGAATCGCTTCTAAAACGCAACATTGAGTGCAAAGTGACCACTGCAGTTTGAGCACCCAGAAGTCTCAATGAACAAACTAAAAAGCAACCTGTAGTTCTCGCATTGTGCTTCCAAGTTCTAAATCCTAATCCAATATGCTCGGCCCTCAAGGATTTTACGCTCTTGACTGGCTGGTCTCGGAAAAGAATCTTTCAAAAAGAAAGCTTTCAATGCGCTCACTGCTCAAGCATTTGTCAAACACATCGAGAGTCAGTTCGGTACGCCAGATCATTTTTGTCAGGAGAATAAAGGCCTGGCTACACTATGCGTTTTTTGCTTGCGTTTTTTGCGGGTTTGCTTTTTTTGCGTAATATCGTTCTAGAAAAAAGTTACGATTAACATAACTTTTGCATTTAGTTATACATAGAAGTTAATATGACTCTTATATTACCTAAAATTTAATATAAAAAAACATCACAAAAACGTAATATCGTTATTTTTTTCTAGAACGATATTACGCAAAACCCGCAAATCCGCATAAAACCCTACGCAGAAAACGCATAGTGTAGCCAGGCCTTTAAGGTCAGAGATTCAAAGTTTAATCTCTACGTAATCACATTCCCGACACCAGCCGCATTAACCAGCTGAAAATATCACATTGTTCTTTATTTTATTTTTTGCCTTTCCATTCATTCCTATGTTTCGTCTCCTGCCGTGTTTATTTGTACACTAATAGCGATCGGATATGCTTAAAAATCCTACTAATTATGTATAGTAACTTGAAGAAACACGATTTACGCCCATCCATTTCTCTCGCGCCCGTGTCTTTACCACTGCCTTCCACGATACAGCGTGTTCATATGCGTCTATTGCAATACGCTGATGTGACCGCGCATCCCTGAGTGCCCGCTGCTCTCACCTGGGTCAGCGCCATGTTGAGTGCCTCGAGTACCGGAGCAGAGTGCAACCGGTCGGCTGCGGCCGGCTCGCTTTATACAGGCCACCCGGTCCTACCATGGGGCTACACGCGCCGGACGGCCAGTGCCGGGGGCGGGTGATGCTCTGCAGGGCGCTATTTGCAAATGAATCGTGTCCTGAGGGGTGGAGGTGGCGGCGACGGTGTTCTCGGCGCTCGTCCTGTCGTTAGATGTCGGTCGCTGCCGACGTTGACGGCGGGTGACGGGGATCACTCGCGGGACAGTCCGAGATTCTGAGGACAGCAATCTGACTGACATCATTTGACTAGGCAGTCGTGAGGGCATCTCTAACGTGTGCCGTCGTGATGAGGTGAGTTTGGACACAAAACGACCTTGAAGGATTTGGTGCCTTACAACCCGATCAACAACGAAAAAAGACGGGGTGACAGGAGTGTCACAAGTGGAGCGATCAGGGAGAGAACCAAAATGCAATGATCCATGCCAAAGTCTTAAACAGTGTTGAGCTACATAGTGTTGGTTAGGGTTGAGCACGGCCAAGTCACAAGTTTCCCGATTCCGTTTGGTCTTAACTAAAATTTGCGCGCTCCTGAGCACTGTACTGCTCACTGTCGGAATATTTGTATATGGTTCGCAGCCGCTGCCATGCAATCTAGTGGTTTTGGTTCTTCTAACAATTATGAGTGCATATTTCTTCCAATGTTCCAAAATTATTCACATTTCGAATGGATATGACAAATTTGGCACACTGCTAGACACCGCTTAACCCGGCAGTTGCTGGGGTATTTCGCCACCCACCGTTTGCTGGGGGGGGGGGGGGTTAAACGCCCCCAGCCGATAACTTGAGAACCAATAGGCGCAGCGAAACGCACGAGGCGGCAAACGAAAGATCGCGACGAGACGCTTCAGATGAGTACTTTAAAGTTGAATTTTGCGGTCACAGGTCGGGTCAAGGTCAGGTCAAACACCTGAAATCGGGCTTTCAGTAGCATGGACTTCAGGACTTCGCAATGGGCGCCTCTCGTCATAAACTCTGTCAAAACGGTGCACAATCCATCATATAAGGCCTACAAGAGTGTCAGCCCCATGTAGGGGTCAGTCAAGCATAGGTCAGGGTCAAGGTCAGGTCAACCGGGTAGGCACATATCTCCGAAAATCAAAACTGATATTCGTAGCCTGTGACACTTGTTTTATGGGTAAATTGGGGCGTAGAACACGATGGTGACATTCATTTTATCATATGTGTACGTATTTGGCTCAAAAAGTTCAATTTAAGAAATGTATGTATCATGGTCGTGAAGTAGTCACGAGAAATTGCCAAGATTCAGTTCAAGATTTTGGAAAATGCGCAACGATAATTAATAGTCGAAGATAGCCATTTGATTGTTCATGGTATTGGCAGGCTAATGGCGTTTACGGCATGTCTGTAACTTTATTCTGTGATTGTATATGATTTTTTGAACATACATATACCGTTTTTTGTCGAAAACTCAGAAATCATGACGTCACTAAATCCTCGATATCTCAAAATTTTTCCGACCGATTTTTTTTTAAACTTTGTCACAATAAACTTCAATTAATTCCCTACAGGTACCTAAAATTTGGCGGGCCGCAGTTTTTATGCTATGGCCCGGCGAAAAAGTGGGGGCGTTTAACGCCCCCTCCCCCCCCCCCCCCAGCAACTCGCGGGTCAATAGCTCTATATCTCTTTTCTGGGAAAACTCTGAGCTGACTGTAGGCGAAAGAATATGTAGATGAACAGACACTGAACACATGTTAACACCATAACTTTTTGTATCAATACCGTCTTTTTCTTTCTAGTCCTCACTCCTGCTTCGTACTCGTAAATGTCGGTAAGGCTTGTCAAGCATGTATAATAAAACATCGTTTTGCCGATGTTAAAATCTTGCGCGATTTTCTTATCTTATCGGATTATGTAACAAAACATTGTTTTACCAATATAAAAATGATGTGCCATTTTCGAATCCTATCGGATTCAAATCTGAAATGGATTCTTGAGCAACAGAGAGCCGCAAAATGATTGGATGAAACGATGTTATATGTATTGTGTAACAGTACACAGTACACACCTCGGTTATTAAAATGTTAAAGTGAGTGTGAGTGAAGATTTTAATTCGTACATTTACAGCTCTGTAAATGTACGAAGTAAAATCTCCATCCTAGCTTTTCCCTCTCTCCCTTTTCCCTGCTTTTTCCTTTTCGCCTTCTTTTTCACTCTTAGCACTATATAATGTTGTAATCCTGTCCCATCTTCCCACCCTGCTCTCTCTCCTCTCTCTCTCTCTCTCCCTCTCTCTCTCTCTCTCTCTCTCTCTCTCTCTCTCTCTCTCTCTCTCTCTCTCTCCCTTCAGATCATGAAGTCGTCTGATGTCAGTTGTATGTCGTCAGCCACTGCGGGGCGCAGGGTGGCAGATGGTCTATGATTCTAAGGCCCGTCACATGCCGTGGGGGTGCCTGAGTGCGGCCCGTAGTCCACACGAGCAGATGGGGTGCTTGGAACAGATAGAGATACATGACCCGCACGTCACCCACGGAAGGGGAAGGGCCGGCTCTGCTAGACTGGGCACGAACGACCGAATGTCGGTGACCTTCTGACCTTGGGAAGAAACATATTCAATGTTCTGGTGTTGGTATGAAGTGACTGCAACGTCAGCAACTCGGTGAACCGTGTAGAGATGAAGCACTGTGGTATGTACATACTGTATTCTTGAATAAACAAAACAGTGGCTGATATCAGGAACTTTCGTCAGACGTCGGCGTTCGGTCTGCTCACTGATGATCGCCCCTGCTGGCATGTCCCCGAGTCCAGACATCATCCACAGTAGAAGACGGAGTGGGATCTTGATTTTATGCAGATCATGTCATACATCCGACCAGGATGGATCATCAGATACGACACGGGACATTGAGCATTGCGGCCGTCTCATTTTCAGTAGTGGTGTGAGCACTGACGTTCTTGATTTTTTTTTATATAAATATTGATATTTGTAAATGGGTAACATTCAAAATATGTTTTATGTATTTATTAGAATAATATATGAATATTATAACAAAATCAGGAAACAAAAACTTCAAATAGATACATATTTTTAACACTATTTCTATCGTAGTCAGTTCTGGCGCGGAGTTGCGCTTAGTGGCGCAGAGGTGTTATTATTTCTGTTCTGTATGTATTTTTGTATGGGAATGAATGTTGTGGTGATTGTTTTCTTTTTATATCTATTGTATGGGTGAAAATTTAAGCTTTTAAGAGTATCTCGAAGAGTCTTCGGAATTCGGAAGCTATCTTTGGCAGGTAAGATACCATTTCCCATGGCTGTTTCATTTTTTTGTAATTGGTTTTATCATGACGCTATTTCATTTATTGTATTTTCATTTTGTGATATCCAATTTTAGTGCCTGTTAACAGGGGGTTCGTTCTCATATGAATACGTAAAAAATTGGGTGTTTGATATAGCACAAACTCACATGGTTTGGGGCCAGAAGTTGGTTGTTGACCCATGGTTAGTTACTCCTTGGCCTAGCGACAAGGACAATATTTGACATTTTCTCCTGGGTATAGAAAAAAGCACTTGGATTTTGAGGTCAAAAGCAGCTTTTGGGCTAAGCAACAAGCCAACATGGACTTGTGGCAAATGTTGCTTTGGGGTTAGCGACAAGTCACTTTTGGACTTAGCGACAAGTCGCTTTTGGGTTTGCGTCAAAATTTGCTTTTGGGCATAGCAAAAGTTGCTTTGGATTTTAGGGGCTAAAGCAGCTTTTTGGCTTCACAGCAAATATTATTTTGACTTGGGGCAAATGCTGCTTTTAGGCAAGTCACTTTTCAGCTTAGCGACAAGTCGCTTTTTTGCTTAGCGACAAGTCGCTTTTTCGCTTAGCGACAAGTCGCTTTTGGGTTTAGGGTCAAAATTTGTTTTTGGGCATAGCAGAAAAAGTGCTTTTGGTTTTTAGGGGCTAAGGCAGCTTGTTGACTTTTTGACAAACAATTTTTGGACCTGGGGTAAATTTTGCTTTTGGACTTAGCGACAAGTCACTTTTGGGGTTGGTGACAAGATTTGCTTTTGGGCATAGCGAATAAGCCTCTTTTGGGTTCAGGTGCAAAACTTCAGCTTTTGGCTTTGAAAAGGGTTCTTGAACAAGGAAGATAATTTTGAGTGAAATAAATGTGTTGTGTGTGCCAGTGTCAAGTCAAGTGCTAGTTTGTAGGTAGCTATTTACAAGGGCAGATCCAAACTCACATTGTGTGATAAAGTGATGAAGTGGTTTTGGTGAACGAATCATTTATTATATCAAATATCCAACTGCAATGTCTTAAACTTGTACCCTATGTTTCAGCGCAAAACTGTTGGTCGGAAAACGGAGAGGCGGCGGCAGCCTGTGGGACTTCCCAGCGCTGATCGGAGGATGCAGCGGCGTGGGCTGTATATATCCCAGCGCTGGTCGGCGGACGCGACAGCGGCGGGCTGTGTGACGTCCAGCGCTGGACGGAGGACGCGGCGGCGCGGGCGCCGTCGGATGTCCAAGTGCTGGATGGAGGAGGCGTGGCAGGTTGCTGTGCAGACATCAGTGGCACTGACCTCGAAAAGCGGTGCCCGCGTGTACATAATGTGTGCTTGTATAAATACATTTGGTACAGATTATTTGTTAACACATTGAATTCCGATCGAAATACCTATCCCTCTGGCGTTCATCAGTGCTCGTCTTTTATTTTTTTCTGGTGTAATTCTGAATTATTCATGCATAAGATCATGTTATCGTGTTTTTTTTTTAAACTAAAATACAATTACCTACTTGCCCTGGGACAGTTATAACAAAATATTCTCAACATTTCTACTGTGGTTGAAAATGAGCAGAATCATTGAGATAATATTAAACACGTAGGTATTTAGGCTCTGTAACATAACGGGCAAGCTAGAGAAGAGGCCTCGTTCTAAGCAGCGTTTTAGGCGTAAGGCAAGTATACGACCAGCTTACTTGTCATTGGCCGGTTCATGCCTGGCCTCTTGGTTCATAATTGCCTATTAATTTAGTTCCTTTGGTTCAAGTCATTTCATACGGCATTGTTATTAATTGATCTGGGACAGAACACATTCGGCGTATGCGGTCCTTTACTTCACACTCTTCCTCAATCCGGTGTCCTTTAATTTAGTGGCGTTTTCTACTTACCGCCGGAAGTGCCTTTCCATGGCGTGGTGGACAATGTAATGCCAATTTGTCACGCTCCTAGACCAAGAGGTGGGATAAAATTATGTTCAATACATAGGGCAGCCTTTTTTCTATAACATATTACCCTTCATTTTTTAGAAGTAGCGTAGTTTTTTAGCAATGTGTAATCTAAGGATCCCTTGCCGCCGCC